AACCCGTTGGAGGCCTCCTTCAAGAGCTCGAAAGACAATTGCGGGCTGTCACGAGGCGGTCTTGAGGGGGCTTGGAGGCACACTGAAAGCAAAATTGTACCATCTGCAAGTATATGGAGCGATCTCGGAATCCTTCTTGGGTTGCCTGCGGTTCCTTTGGAGCCATCTTCGGCCATTTCGGGCACTCCACCGCCCCGCGGTCACTCTCTGTCCACGCCCGGGGACGAGAGGGCAGGGGGGGATCCCCGTCCCTGCCAGGGAGAAACGCGCGGATAAGCTAGCCCGTTAAACCACCACCCGCGCTCTGCATGGCTGGTGGGATTTTTCCACGGCCGCCTGGGAATACTACCCCGGATTCTCGAGTGAATTCTGCCCGGATTTTTCCAAATCCAAATGTGAATTTGCCCCGGAAACCGCGTGAATTTTTCCGGGTGCCCCCCGGATTTTTCCGCGCGTGTTTTTTCGATGCGCGCGCCCAAGGAAAAATCCACCAAGAATTCGGAGAGGTATTCAAAACGAATTTTTGTTTTTCTCCCCAAAGTTTTCACTAGGCCGCGCGCGGAGCCTGGAAGGAGGGGGGGGGCGGGGGAGAAGTCACAGGGAGTGGATGGGGCACGCCGCAGGAGAGGGCCGGAGGGAGACAGGAATCCCAACACCCCTTTAAGCGTGAGCGGCGTGACGAAATAATTCATCCAAGCCCACTCTTCCCCTTCATGGACACAGTTCCCCATGTCCCCGCCCAATCCTTCATGCGCGGGAAGGTAGCCGCGGGTCGTTGGAGCGCCCAATACGGCCCAAAATGTTTCCGAGATGGCTGCAAGGAGCCCAGATACGCCTCCAATATCGCTCAACGCATCCCAGGACGATTCCGAATAGCCTCCAACATGCCTCTGAGAGTCGTCAAAACCGCTTCAAGACGGCCCCGCGTGCCCTTCGAGCTCTCCAAGGAGGGAGGCCTCCAAGACAAAAACATGATGGACCCACGAACCCGGAAAGGGATATAGACATGTGGAGCATGGACACGTTTTCACGATACCCAACTGGGCAACACCTCGCGAAACATCCCACGAGACACTTGACGAAACATCCCACGAGACACCTCACGAAACATTCCACGAGACACCTCACGAAACATTCCACGAGACACCCCGCGAAACATTCCACGAGACACCCCACGAAACATTCCACGACGACAGGCAACCACTCAACCAAGGCGGTGTGGTCGTGCTGGGGAGTGGTCGTGCTGGGGTGTGGTCGTGCTGCGTGGGGGGTGGTCGTGCTGGGGGGTGGTCGTGCTGGGGGGTGGTCGTGCTGGGGCGTGGTCGTGCTGGGGCGTGGTCGTGCTGGGGCGTGGTCGTGCTGGGGCGTGGTCGTGCTGGGGTGTGGTCGTGCTGTGGTGAGGTCGTGCTGGGGTGTGGTCGTGCTGGGGTGTGGTCTTGCTGGGGTGGGGTCGTGCTGGGGTGGGGTCCTGCTGGGGTGTGGTCGTGCTGGGGTGTGGTCGTGCTGGGGTGGGGTCGTGCTGGGGTGGGGTGTGGGGGTGTGGTCGTGCTCGTGCTGGGGTGTGGTCGTGCTGGGGTGTGGTCGTGCTGGGGTGGGGTCGTGCTGGGGTGTGGTCGTGCTGGGGTGTGGTCGTGCTGGGGTGTGGTCGTGCTGGGGCGTGGTCGTGCTGGGGTGGGGTCGTGCTGGGGTGGGGTCGTGCTGGGGTGTGGTCGTGCTGGGGTGGTCCGCACCCTGTGATTTATCGATCGGGTCGTGCTGGGGTGTGGTCGTGCTGGTGCTGGGGTGTGGTCGTGCTGGGGTGTGGTCGTGCTGGGGTGTGGTCGTGCTGGGGTGTGGTCGTGCTGGGGTGTGGTCGTGCTGGGGCGTGGTCGTGCTGGGCGTGGTCGTGCTGGGGTGTGGTCATGCTGGGGGTGTGGTCGTGCTGAGGTGTCCCGCACCCTGTGATTTATCGATCGGGATTTCAAAAACAAGCGTTTCGCCTGAGACATCCTCAAATTTTAATCCGCCGGCCTCCTTCGACCTCGATATTTATCAGGGAAAGAATCCGCCGGCCTCCTTCAAGTTGGGCACCGGGGACATGTTTACATACTAAAAGAGAACCCTGGGCCCGCGCCCTTTCCGGGAAAAATGAAAACCATTGCGTGCTGTGTGTTATGCCTCGTCGCCTTTTCGTTTTCCATGGGCCCTTGAGGCCTCTAGATGGCCACGCTGGCCTGAGATGGCCTTCCAGAAGAACCCGACAGGCCCAAAGACGGCGCCGAGAGCGCTCAAGAGCAGCCGAAGGAGGTCCCAAGAGAGCGCCAAGAGGCGACGTGGGCGGCTCCAGCGAGGGGACGCTGCAAGGACCCTCCCCCCGTACTCTTTGACTGACGGCGTTTCCAAGATGGCCCCGAGAGGGCCCCCAAGGCCTCCAAGACGGGCCCACGAGACCCCGAAGAGGATCCCAAGGAGGCCCGAAACAGCCTCAAGAGGACCCCGTAGGCTCTCCCAAAATGGCTCCAAATTAGCTCCACAACGGCCCACAAATCACCCCAAGGGGCTTCTAACAAGAGCCGCGTGCGGAAAACAAACAGAAACCTCCATGATTGATTCTGGCCGTCGTCGTGATTTTTTCTCTCCCGTCATTCCTTTTCCTACTCCTCGCCCTCATCCCGCCCCTCCTCCGTTTCCCCGTCATCCTCCTCCTTGTCCTCCTTCCCCGCTGCTGTTAATCCTCCGATTCCTCCTGCGCCGTCCTCACGTTTCTAACGTAAACAGCGTCGCCCTCTTGGTTGAGCACCATGCTGGCGCACGTTTCTGATCGACACAATTTGCCTGGGCACCGTCTCCGGAACTGCTTCGTCCTGAGTGTTCTTACCCCCATGTCCTCCTACCTCCCCCATGCTCCTCCCACCTCCCCATCTGGCACATTCCTACATCCTCGTTTACGAAAGGGTGCGGCGCGCTGGTGTTCTGCGCGGATCACCAATGCGGCAGCTACCTCCCCCTGGCTCCTCGTAACCCTCCCCCCCCCCCTCAGGTCCCTCATCATCCCTCCGACCTTCTCATGCTCTAGCATGTTGCTGTTTCCTCCAGCACGCGTCCATCCTTTTGCTGTCCCTCTTCTTTCGTTACGACTGGTCCTTCGCCACCACATTTGTCCCTTCGCTTCCTCCACCTCCTCTTCCTCCCCCCGCACAGAACCAATGAAAACACATTCGGTTCGCTGCGGCGCCGCATGCTGCTACACATGTTGATCGAAGCAACTCGCCTGGTGATTGCTTTTGCCTTGGCTGGCGGAAGTACGCGAGGCGTCGGAAATGAAGGCAAAAAGGCGGATGAACAGTAGAATCCCGCGGACCACGGCCGAAACGCGTCATAACATATGCGAGGAGACAGGTCTGCAAGTTGTTTTGGACCCCTACAAAGCCTGTCTTGGGACCCTAGGGCCTGCTTGCAATCCTTCTCGGGACCTGCTGGACTCTCCTCGAGCTCACTTGCAGTCTTCCCGGCGCCCTGTTGGATCCTGTCGCAGGCCCTGAGAAAAGAAGATGACAGCGGGAGGGAAATGAAGAGAAAAACAATGCAGGCAAGAGGAATAAGATAAATGAATACGATCAGGAAGAATCAAGGGCACGGAAGATATTCGAAATTCGCTGGCCACACGGCATTCACACGAACGCCCGAGCCACATGATCGATTGACGTGCGCATATCAGAAAAAAGGAAAATAAAAATGAAAAACGAAGACGCAAATCCACGCTGAATTCACTCTTGGCACCGGCGAAACCAACACTCCCCCCAAGCAAGTGCTCCCCCAAGGGTTTCCACAACGGCTGGGGGGACACTTAATCCAACAGCTTGGCCAGACTTTGGCCCAACGTTCGGCCACATAGGCGTCTCCATAGAGGCAGGGGGCGGCGGTGGTTCGCCGTAGACGTCGTCGATCCGCAGCCCTCTGGTGCTTGCCACACTGGTGTTTGACGTGCCAGACTTCATCTATCTTTATTTGTCATTCCAACATGTTCCAAGTGTCTATCGGCTGATCCCGCCGGACACCCGAACAACCCAGGCGAACCTTCCCAGGACGTCCAATATGGCCCGATATTGCCTCCAAGGTGGCCCCAAGACAACTCGACGACGCCAAAATGGCCCCAATATTGGTAAACTATTGCCCCAACGTGGCCACACATTGCTTGAAGAGGGACCAAGAGGCCCTGGATACAGCCTAAGAGGGCCCCAAGGGGCCCTCCAGAAGAGCATGAAAAAGGGCTACGTCACAAACTTTCTTGTGGATTTTGAAAGATTGTCGCGTTATTGCCGTTTCAGGCTTCCGACGGCCGAAGAGGGCCCCAGATGTCAACAAGATGAGCCCAAGACGGACCCATAAACCCCCTTGCCGCTGCTTGGGACAAGAATGCATCTGCCCTAGACGACCTCCGCCGAAGGCGGAGAAGGTGGTGAAAGGTAAGGAAGAAACCGATCTAGATCCGCGATCGCATGTCCAGGCTGGCATCCCACAGAAGGCTCGGCAGAGCGGCCTACATCCGAGGAGGCTCAAAGCCGCCTGCGCCTCCAGGCCCCCGTCAACGCCTGGCCCCCCACAGCCAGAGGACGAAGAGGGCTCCCAGACGGGCGAAGGGGACCCCAAAGCAGCCCACGAGGCCCCCAAGACGGCCCTGGACACCTCCAAGACGTCCCTAAAGCGCTCCAAGAGGGGCTGCAAGACGGCCCAGAGAGGCCCCCAAGGCGGTGTCCGAAGGCCGAGAGGCTCCTTGGAGGCCCCCAAGAAGCCCCAGGAGGCCCGCAAAAGGTCCCACACAGGCCCCCATGACGCCCGTGGGAGGCCCCAAGCGAGCTCCCCCTTATCTCGTCATCCTCCCTACCTTCTTCCCACAAGTCTCCCCCCCAGGGTTTACACAACGGTTGGGGAAACAAATACTCCAATAGCTTGATCAGGCTTTGGCCCAGCGTTTGGCCACGTACGCGTTTCCAGAGAAGCAGAGGGCGGCGGTGACTCGCCGAAAGCGACTTCGATATGTATTGTCGCCCTTCGGGAATACCGGCGGCAAAGGATGATGAGCCTCGTCGACAAATATATCAGAAAAATGGATGTCTTCCAGGAGGTGCACAGAGTCCGTCACGCTGATGTATCCTGGCGCATCCCACGCGATCTTCGTGTTATACCCGGTCCCAACGGGGCAGAATTCAGGAAATGTCGCACGATGCTGCCAGAGCAGAGCGAGAGACGGGACCGACACCAGGACGCGGCCTGAAGCATTATCGGCCAGCCTTCGCATCACCAGCGTCTTGCCCGTGCCACACGCCATCTCGACGATGCGGGCCCCAGCCCTGCAGGCACGGATGCAGTCTCGCTGGCATGGTCTGAGGGGGGCAGCCGCCAGGCAGTCCCGCTGAGGCGGTGGGAGCGCTGCTGCACTGCTGGACAGTAGCTCATCGATGACACTGCTCGGCAACACGTCGTGCCTGACGCCAGCAGACTCAATGATGGCTGCCGCATCGCTGGTCAGGCGGGATGTCTCTGACGTCGCCAGGACGATCTCGGAAGCCCTGAACACGTTCTGCGCCACGCATACGAAGTGGGTGACGTCCTTCGTCTGCACGGTGCCGTTGCAGCACTTGCACTGCACCGCCCGCTCGCCGTCCAAGCTCACCAGATCCACGCCGATGTCCCTGCCCCATCCCGCTTCCCCAGCCTGTCTCCTCCCCCTCCCACTCCAATCCCCTCGCCCTTCCCTGCCACTCGCCCCCCCACTTCCACCCCATCCAGGCCCCGCGCCCTTTCCTGACCCCTCCCTTTGATGCCCCTTATGTTATGTTGTTCCCATCCTACTTAAGGACCGCATCCCAGAAATGATTTCGAGCACCCCGAAAAGTGTCAAAAGAGTGTCGAAACAGTGTCGAAACAGTGTCGGGCAAGTGTCTCCCAGGGCCCGACACGTGAAAACCCTTGAATTTCGGTACTCTTTTGAGCGCTCGAACTTCTTCCTGGTGGTCAAGGCTAAAGTAGGTTGGAGCATGATAACCCTTATGTTTGTTTCCCCTTCTCCGCCCTCCTCTCTCTCCCCCCAAACATAAAAAAAAACGCTCCAAACATACACCAACAAGGTCAAATAATACTCAAAAATAATCCCCTGACTATTTTTGGACCATGTTCTGTCTATTTTTGGGGTAGTTCTTTTATTTTTCGTCGAAAGACCCCCTGTAGGGGGACAGGCCCGACCTAACCTTATGCTTGCTTCCCCTTCTCCGCCCTCCTCTCTCTCCCCCCTCTCTCCTGTGCCTCCCTCCTCTCTCTCCCCCCTCCCCCCTGTCCCTCCCTACTCTTGGGCGCTCGAAGCTCTTCCTGGTGATCAAGGCTAGAGTAGGTTGGAGCATCATAACCCTTAGGCTCGCTTCCCCTCCTCCGCCCTCCTCTCTCTCTCTCTCCCCTCCCTCCGGTGCCCCCGCCCTCTCCCCGTGCCCCTCCCGCGGTCACCTCCTCGCGCCCTCTCCGCCTCCCGCCGTCTGCCCCCTCCCCTCCCCTCCCCCCTCTCCCCCTCGCCCTCCCCCTCGCCCTCCCCCCCCCCCCTCTCCCCCTCCCCCTCCCCCTCCCCCTCCCCCCTCCCCTCCACAATTACTCAATATGAAAATACTCTCCCTCTTCCCCTGATGGCGGTTGTGTGATCGCCGACCCCCCCCCGCGCACTGTTTTTTTACACACAGGATTCCTGGGAAACGGGTTTTCGCCGGCGTTGTTTTCCAAAATGCTGCTCTCGCTGAGGCGTCGGCCTCGCTTCTGCTCCCGAATCGTTCCGAATCGTGCTCCCGCTGCAGCGTGGGCCTCATTTTCGGATCGGTGTTTGGCCTCCGTCGTTCAGGATGGCGTTCTCGACCCAGCGCGGGCGGGCCTCTTTCTCGCGCGCCCATCCGCCCGCCACCACCGCGCCGCACCACCACCACCACCACCACCACCACCACCACCACCACCACCACCACCACCACCACCACCACCACCACCACCACCACCACCACCACCACCACCACCACCACCACAACCACCACCAGCACCAGCACCACCACCACCAGCACCACCATCACCAGCAGCACCACCACCACCACCACCACCACCACCACCACCACCACCACCACCACCACCACAACCACACACGCACGCACGCACGCACGCGCACCGCACCACCACCCACTACGCACGCGCGCGCGGAGCCACAAGTCCGCTACGACACGCGTCCGCGGATAGAGAAAATCAGCGCCATGGTAAGGGATGGGAGGGAGGGGTAGGACGTCAGATATGACGCGAGCGCACCTAGCTTGACCCCTTCCCCCTCTCCCTCGCCCTCCCCCCTCCCCTTCCTCCTCTCGCCTCCCCCATCCCTTCCCCCACCCCTCCGCCTCCCCCTCCCCCCCCCCCTCCCCTCCCCTCCACCCCTCTCCCTCCCCCCTCGCCCTCCCCCCCCCCCTCCCCCTCCACCCCTCCCCTCCCCCTCGCCCTCCCGCCCCCCCCCTCCCCCTCCACCCCTCCCCCTCCTGCGTGTCAGGTTCCTCGGAGCGAGCCACCAAGGCGGCAGCTCCTTCACCGGAACGGCGTCGTACCGCAGCGCCGCCGCCCACTCGAGGCGCTGCCAGGGCGCCAGGTGCGGCCACTGCAGCGCCTCCACGGCGAGCTCGCGGATGCAGAAGACCAGAAACTGGCACGAGCTCTGCGCCCAGACCCCCGACGTCATGAATTTTTCATGACGCGACCCCCAGAAGTCTGGACCGTCTCTCCCCGGGACCGGTTCTTCGTCCTGAGTCGTTTTTGACGGCCTCGAGTCCCGGTAAGGGCCCCCAAATGCCAAAAATAATGAAAAACCTCCGGTCGTAGTTTTTTCATAACTCGAGGGGGTCTGGAAAACTGGCACGAGCTCTGCGCGGATCTCCTGGGTCCAGCGCCGGCGCCGGACCCAGTGCGCCTCCTCCAGGGCGCGGAGCGCGCACGGGGAGGCGGGCCCGGCGCCGAGAGATCCGCGCGGAGCTCCCAGGTCGTGTGCTCACTCCGAGCGCCCTGCCTGCACCAAAGTTAGGTCGGGCCTGCCCCTCTACAGGGGGATTTTGGACGGAAAATCCAAAAATTCCCCACACAGATTCAAACACACTCAAACATAAAACAAAATCGTGCCCTGACTATTCTTAAACTTTTTTTTTTATATCCCCCCTGTAGAGGGACAGGCCCGACGTAACACTAAATGCTCGGGCGGGGCTCCTGGGGTCTGCCCCTAGGCGCCCGGTCGGTGGCCGCCGGTGGGCGCCCCGCGTGCGCCTCAAGGGGGGGGTCTGCCCGGGGTTCCTGCCCGGTGCCCGCCCCTGGCCGCCCGCGGGCGCCGGCAGAGCCTGCACCGCACAGCTCGCACCACAACGGCCGCTCGCACCACACGGCTTGCACCGCATGGCTCGCACCACGCGTGGCCTGTACCGCAGCGCTTGCGCCCCCCCATGGGCTCTGCACGGCACGGCACGGCACGGCGCAGCTGGCATCAGCTGGCCCCCTTCGCACACCTTCTCCCCTCCCAGCTTGCAGCACGCAGCGCGCGCCACACCGCTTGCGCCGCACCGGCGGCAGCACATGGCCTGCACCACGCAGCTTGCGCCATGCAGCTTTCATCACATAGCTACCAGCACATGCACACATGACAGACAAAGACCTCTCAATATATAGTTCTCTACACACATATACATATATATATATATATATATGTATATATATACATATATGCACACATATATGTATATTTATTTATATATATATATATATGTATGTGTAGATGTATACGTATATGTCCATATGGGTGTATGCATGCACAACAGGTGCATGCCTGGAGCATCATCTAGACAACGCACCGCCCGGCTCGGCTACGCGGACGGTGCCCAGCTCGGTGCCTCTGGCCTCCTGGGCTGCCCGACATGTAGTCGGCGTGCCGCCGCTCGCCCCGCTCGCTCGGCGGCCGCCACCCGCCGCCGCCGGGCGCCGCCGCCCGCCCGGCCCGCCCGCGCGCGACCGCCACGGCCCGCGGGCGCCCGGCCGCCGGGGCCCGCGCAGGGCGCGGCGAGCCCGCCGCCCGGGCCGCGCCACAGCGCGCTGGCACACGGCGCCCAGCAGCAGGCCGGCGCGCCAGGGCGCCCCGCGGGGGCGCCGCCGCGGGCGGGGGCGCGGGGGCGCCATGGGGGCGGGCCCGGGGCGCGGGCGAGGCCGCGCGGGGGCGGAGGCGAGCTCGGGCCCGAGAAACGGCGCTGCCGCCGGGCGGGGGGGGGCGAGGGCCCGAGCGCGGGCAGGGGGGCGACCGGGAGCACACGCAGAGCGATAGGGAGCAGGGAGGGGCCTGCGCGGCCTGGCCACGGCGAGCCGCGGCCGCGAAGAGGCGGGCCGAGAAGCCCCGAGCCCCGCCTGAGCCCAGGGTGCTCCGCAGCTCGGCGTCCTGACGGTGGGCCCGACCGGCGCGGCGCTCGTGATGGTGCGGCCTGCCCTCCCGTCCCGAGGAGCCCCATCATGGCTGGCTGCAGCTGGGCAGGTGGGGCGGCCTGCGTGGTGAGGGCCTCGCGGGATCTGGAACGCACGGCAGTGGCCGCATGTCAGTTTCGCGTCCGCTGCATGGCGTCATGGCTCTGACAAGGAATCACCCTCCCGACATGCAAATGGCAACGAGCCCAGGACAAGTACACGCGGCTTTGGAGAATGAACCGCTCTTCGTCCACCTGTCTAGAGTCTGGCCGTTGTCTGTGCTATGCCGTATGGCCTTTGATATGACGTATGGCGGCTGGGGATGCCGAGGTATAGTCGCAAGGAGTACGATGACCACCCTCAGCGAGAGAAAGCTGTTGAGGGGATTCTTCCCTCTGACCGTCTGCTGCGAACTGCGAGATCTCACACCAGGAACACATTCTGAGAACGACTTGCTTGCACCCGTGTGCCAACTGGAACTTCTGAACTTTGGGCGCATGGGATATTTCGTGCGAGAGCAAAATGCTGGAAACTCTGGGAACTTGGAACTTTTGGAATTTCGTGCGAGAGCAACATGGGAACTTGTGAACTTTGTTAACTTGGAACTTTGGGGACATTTCGCGCGAGAGCAACATGCTGGGCGAGGGAGGGGGCGACAAAGGCCGAGCAAACAGGGGAGTGGAACTGAGAGCTGGGCTGTCGAAGCTCCAGGCCTCCTGCCCCCCACGTCCAAACTTGCAGAGCCAGCCCTTTCTGCCCTGACCGCTCCTGTTTCGCGGGCGCTCCCCATGCCCTCCCAGCCTGGCCGTTTCTCCTCCTCCTCCTCCTCCTCCTCCTCCTCCTCTTCCTCCTCCTCTTCCTTTTTCTCCTCCTCCTCCTCCTCCTCCCTCCTCCTCCTCCTCCTCCTCCTCTCCCTCCTCCTCCTCCTCCTCTCCTCCTCCTCCTCCTCCTCCCTCCTCCTCCTCCTCCTCCTCCTCCTCCTCCCTCCTCCTCCTCCTCCTCCTCCTCCTCTCCTCCTCCTCCTCCTCCTCCTCCTCCTCCTCCTCCCCTCCTCTCCTCCTCCTCCTCCTCCTCCTCCTCCTCCTCCTCCTCTCCTCCTCCTCCTCCTCCTTCTCCTCCTCCTCCTTCTCCTCCTCCTCCGTTTTCATCCTCCTCCTCCTCCTCCTCCTCTCTCCTCCTCCTCCCTCCCTCCTCCTCCCTCCCTCCCTCCGCCCTCCCTCCCTCCTCCCTCCTCCCTCCTCCCTCCCTCCCCCTCTCCCTCCCTCCCTCCCCCCTCCTCCTCCTCCTCCTCCTCCTCCTCCTCCTCCTCCTCCTCCTCCTCCTTCCTCCTCCTCCCCCGCCCGGCCTCAGCCTCGTCCTCCTGCCACCCGGGCATTCGCACTCTCATGTGTCATCCTTCCCCTCCCCCCCGTCCGCCTCATCCTCCACCTGCTCCTCCTCGCAGATCATGAGGCCCAGTCGAGCAGCAAAGGCGGACCTAAGCACAGCTCAAAACCGACCTCGGAGAGAGAGAGAGAGAGAGAGAGAGAAAGAGAAATAAATAATCAAGGGAGAGAGAAAGAAAGAGACACCGAGGGAGAGCCTCGGAAACCAAAAAGATAGAGAGAGAGAGAAAGAGAGAGAGAGAGAGAAACAGAGAGAGCGAGAGAGATAGAGAGAGAAAGAGAGAGAGAGAGAGAGAGACCGCCCATCCTTGGCACACTCCTGCGAGGGGGAGCCTCCCGCCTGCGCGCATCCGCCCGCCTGCGCGCCCCCTCCGCGAGAGGGAGCCGTCCCCCCCCCTCATGCTCCACGCCCGCGTCGCAGGCCCCAGCGGGGGTGCCTGCATGCGGTTCCCCCACCCAGGGCAACGTTTCGTGGCCCTACAGGGATCTCCACCGTAGGCCCCAATGGGGGTGCCCGCATGCGGTTCCCCCAGCCAGGGCAGCGCTTCTTGGCCCCATAGGGAGCTCCACCGAAGGCCCCAGTGGGGGCGCCCGCGTGCGGTTCCTCACCACCACCGCTGCGGCAGGCCCCTCACACAGTTCGTGGCCCCATAAGGAGCTCCACCGAGGACGATATTCACAACTGCGGTACTCACAACTGCATATGGTTGGGTCCTTCGCCAGGCTACGTGTTCGTTTTTTCTATTTTTTTTTTGTTTTTTCTCTCTCGCTCCTTCTCTCTCTCTCTCTCTCTTTCTCTCTCTCTCTCTCTCTCTCTCTCTCTCTCTCTCTCTCTCTCTCTCTCTCTCTCTCTCTTTCTCTATTTTCATGTGCGCGCCCATGTCCGAAGCTGCGGGCGCGGCGTTGCGCGGAGTCCCCGCGACGCGCGCCGGTCGCCCCGAAGGGGCCCCGGCGAAGTGCACGGGTCGTCCGCTGCGCGGAGCAAAGAGAACTCGCTGGCTGGCTGATAGCGGGCACGGCTGTGGCCGCCGGGTAGAGAGACGACAGGGGGCGAGCGAGGCTCTGGGTAGAGCGCAGCGCGGAATTCCCGCGACGCGCGCTGGTCGCCCCGAGAGGGTCCCAGCGACGCGCGCGGGCTGCCCGCGGCGCGGAGCCAAACAGTCAGACCGTCGAAAGACGGCGAGGCTCGTGCGGGTCGCTTCTCAAGTCAAGCCTCGCGGAGAAACCCGGTGAAAACAAGCTCCCTGGCGAGGGCCATCGCCTCCCTCCTGCACAGCTTCGTGCGCGTAGCAAGCTGTTCCAGCTGTTTCCGCGACTCCCCCGGCGGCCCTACCACGAAGAACTCGATGCGCGGCGCCCGCATGGGCAGGAGGTCCTCGTGGCGTGTGGCGCGCGAGAGCAGCACGTAGAGCTTCAGCCACCAGTCGTCGTCCTCCTTCTTGCCGTTCCCCACCTCGTGGCGGCCGCAATCCAGGATCACGCCTGGGCGATGTCGGCCGAGGGAGCAGCGCGCCGGACAGCCGACGGCCCAGGGCGAGGGTCCACGAGGCCGAGAAAAGGTTTCCAAAACATATGAGGGGCCACGAAACGTGTGAGGGGTGTGCCGAAATGGGGCGGCGCCGCCATACGGGCTGCGCCACTGGGACCTTAGGTGGAGCTCCCATTGGAGCCACGAAGCGTGTGAGGGGTGTGCCAAAATGCTGCGGCGGCGCGCCATGCGGGCTGCGCCACTGGGACGCTAGATGGGGCTCCCTATGGGGCCACGAAACGTGTGAGGGGTGTGCCAAAAGGGGGCGGCGCCGCCATGCGGGTTGCGCCACTGGGACCTTCGGTGGAGCTCCCTATGGGGCCACGAAGCGTGTGAGGGGTGTGCCGAAATGGGGCGGCGCCGCCATACGGGCTGCGCCACTGGGACCTTAGGTGGAGCTCCCATTGGAGCCACGAAGCGTGTGAGGGGTGTGCCAAAATGGTGCGGCGGCGCGCCATGCGGGCTGCGCCACTGGGACGCTAGATGGGGCTCCCTATGGGGCCACGAAACGTGTGAGGGGTGTGCCAAAATGGGGCGGCGCCGCCATGCGGGTTGCGCCACTGGGACCTTCGGTGGAGCTCCCTATGGGGCCACGAAGCGTGTGAGGGGTGTGCCAAAATGGGGCGGCGGCGCCATGCGGGCTGCGCCACTGGGACCTTAGGTGGAGCTCCTTATGGTGGGGCCACGAAGCGTGTGAAAGGTTTCCCAAAACGGAGCGGCGACGCCATGCGGGCTGCGCCGCTGAAGCCCTAGATGGGGTTCCCTATGTAGCCATGAAGCGTGTGAGGGGTGTGCCAAAATGGGGCGGCGGCGCCATGCGGCTTGCGCCACTGGGACCTTCGGTGGAGCTCCCTATGGGGCCACGAAACGTGTGAGGGGTGTGCCAAAATGGGGCGGCGGCGCCATGCAGGCTGCGCCACTGGGACCCTAAATGGGGCTCCCTATGGGGCCACGAAACGTGTGAGGGGTGTGCCAAAATGGGGCGGCTGCCATGCGGGCTGCGCCACTGGGACCTTGCGTGGAGCTCCCTCAAGGGCCACGAACCGTGTGAGGAGTGTGCCAAAATGGGGCGGCGCCGCCATGCGGGTTGCACCACTGGGACCTTAGGTGGAGCTCCCTATGGGGCCACGAAGCGTGTAAGGGGTGTGCCAAAATGGGGCGGCGGCGCCATGCAGGCTGCGCCGCTGGGACCTTCTGTGGAACCCTCTCATGGGGCCACGAAGCGCTGTGCTGGGTGGGTGAAGCGCAGGCAGGGAGGAGGGAGGAGGAGGAGGAGGAGGAGGAGGAGGAAAACATGAGGAGGAGAACGCGGGGCACCGTCTTTTCAAAACGAGGACCCAACACCACAGGATGGTTGGTAAAAACAAATCTTACTTGCGATGCCATAGCGACCTTAGGCGATGGCTTACGCGGGCCGCTAGCGCGGCACGCTACAATGGAAACAAGGGTGCTTACGCGGGACCTGACGCGAGCATTTTACGTGCGACTGTCCGTGCAGACGACCCCGTTGTTTGCGTCGCTCAACTGTCCTGGAACCACGCGCGGGGAACAGTTCTTTAGTAGTTGCGCTGCAGGAGTGGCATTGGCCGGCGGCGATGCCTGCCTTTCCAAATACAAGTAGCGCAGACCGTAGCCTCCGAGCAGCCTCTTGCGCTCAGCAGCCGGAAGCCGCAGCAGGGCCCAGGCGTCGTCGAACATGGACACATTCTTGAAGGAGTTGAACGAGCACGGGGTGTCCACGACCCAGAAGGAGTTCTCACGGTAGCAGTGCATGTATCGGGTGCTGCTGGAAGTGGTCCTGGCCCAAGGTGACCCCAGCTTTTCGCGCCATTGTAAAATTCCTGGGGGCCTGTGGGCCCCTATGAGGGGTGCACTAGGGGCAGTGGAGGCCTCTTCGGCAGTCTCGGGGACACCGTTGGCCCCGTGGCCCAAGGTGACCCCAGCTTTCCCAGAGAGGCGCAGATATCTTGGAGAGCACCCCTCAAGGTCCAGAGGGCAGAGGGCCCCAGAGGCCCCCGAGTGGCGCGAGGGGCCGCAAGCACACCCTGGGCCAGGGCCACTCCTAGCAGCACCCGACATGTACAGGTGCCCGCGCCCGGACCAGAAGTTCCAGGAGTACTCCGCGGCGTTTTCCCGCACGGCGCCCGCCGGCGGCCTGTGCGACGGGATGGCGCGGACGGGGCGGATGCTGAACCACTCGCGCCCTCGGGCATCCGTCGTCGCCTCGCTGCCACCCCCCCCTCGGCCTGCACCTTCCGCACCGCCTGCGCGGCAGGCGCCGCGCTGCGGCGCGGCCGCGTGGTCACCGAGTGCGCCGCTGCGGCAGCGGGGCCGCTGCGCCTCGGCGCCGTCGCCGTGGCCGCAGCGGCGGCCTCGGCGGCCACCGCGGCCGCGCTGCGGCGCGGCACCCGCCGCACGCGAGGTGCGGAGGGCGCAGGCCCGAGGGTGCAGCTGCCGTCGCCTCGCTGGCGAGCACCCCCGCCTGCCGCAGGCAGGCGGCCAGCATCAGGTCCTCGTGGTGCCCCGCCGCGAAGGCGCAGCGGCTGAAGTCGGGGTCCTGCGACCGCGGGAGCGTCGGCGCAGCCTCCGTGGAGAAATAAAAACACACGCACACGCACAACACAACACAACACAATACAACACAACACAGCACAGCACAGCACAGCACAGCAGAACACAACACAACACAACACAACACACCACACCACACCACACCACACCACACCACACCACACCACACCACACCACAACACAACACAACACAACACAACACAACACAACACAACACAACACAACACACACGCGCAAAAGCTTCTGGAGCTCCGCGAAGATTTCTGGGGTCGGCGCTGGACCCTCGTCCCTGGCGCGCGCGGAGCGCACCGGGGGCCAGCGCCAGAGGCGCCGCCAGGGGGGCCCAGGAAAATCCAGGAACTCCGCGCGGAGCTCCGAGAAGATACATATGGCCAAACCCATGTTGTAGGGTTGCCAACTTGCGGCGGTCGCACACCCGGGTTGGCGGCCATGTTGTGTGAGCCCTCTCGGAAGCCCTCGGCGGGAGCCCTCGGGAGCCCAACGGGGCTGATGTGACCCCGTCGATGGCCCAGTGACTCAACGGAGCTGTGTGACCTCGTCGTGTAAGCCATGACCGCCGCCAAGATGGACGGCGGCATATGTGAAGGGGCCCTGGGACACACAAATAGATAGACACAAATACCAGGATTCCCCATATTTTCAGATATATTTTCTGGGTTTTTGTCTTCCCCCCCACTTCCCAGATTTCCCCATATTTCCGGGGCAATCGACGATTGATTGTGTCTGTGTGTCTTTTTCCTGCCGCTTTCTCGCCACCGAGGCCTGGAGCACCGCGTGCAGCCTCAGCAGCGCCGCGGACGACAGGCAGACGCCGGGGCCGCCGTCGTTGAGGACCAGGCCGAAGCGGAAGACCTCGGTGAACTCCCGGGCGCCGAGGTAGTGCGGGTCTCGGGCGCGCAGCCCGGCAGCCCTCACGAGGAGCCGGAAGTTCTCGGGCAGGAAGAGCGTGTCCCGCTCGAGGCGGCAGAACCACCACTCGTCGCCGCGCGCAGGGCTCGGAGGGAGGGCCGGGCTCTGCCTCCTGCTGCTGCTCCTGCTGCTGCTCCTGCTACTGCTGCTCCTGCTCCTCCTCCTCCTCCTCCCCCACCCCATCCTCCTCCTCCTCCTCCTCCTCCTCCTCCTCCCCTCCTCTCCTCCTCCTCCTCCTCCTCTCCCTCCTCCTCCTCCTCCTCCTCCTCCTCCTGCCTCCTCCTCCTCCTCCTCCCATTCCTCCTCCTCCTCCTCCTCCTGCTGCTCCTTCTCCTCCTCCTGCTGCTCCTCGTTCTCCTCCCGCCCCTGCTCCCCCTCCTCCTGCTGCAGCCCCCCCCTCCCCTGCGAGCTGAGCGTGGCCACGTGTGTCACGCCGGGCGTGTTTCCGCCCTGCTTCGGGCCACGGGGCCGTCTGGACAAGTGCAGCTGGATAGGGGCCAGGGAGGAGGAGGAGGAGAGGAGGAGGAGGAGGAGGAGGAGGAGGAGGAGGAGGAGGAGGAGGAGGAGGAGGAGGAGGAGGAGGAGGACGAGGAGGGTCGTGATTTCTCGCGACCGCTGTTGGCATACAAAAAAAACGCCCATCTAGAGAGGTGGCGTCGACGGGGCCACCCCTGGGCTCCACGTTTCGATGCTGCCTTCGCGGCCGCTGCAGGAGTCCGAGCATAGAGATTGTTAACGCCGATCGCTCCACACCCGTTTTCAAAGTTCGCATCGGGGGGCGCGGGGGTCGTCAACACATGAGCGAAAGGTTCCCCGTTTGGTGGGCGCTTGCTTGCGCCAGTGGCGTCATGTAGCATTTTGTTCGCAAGGTCGGATCTCAAGGGACCACCTCGGCTTGCCCGTCGGCGCGCGTCCGCTCCCAAAATCGGTCCCTGGACACCTCCGGGGGCCTGCCTGTCGAGGCAGATCCAGCCGTGGCGACGAGAAGCCTCCATATGGAAGCCCCGGCAACGAAGAAGCACGCCGGCCGAAGGCCGTCGTCCCAGACCTCCCCAGACCCCCTCGCGTTGTGAAAAAATCACGACGGCAGGTTTTTCGCTACTCTCGGCCTCCGGGGGCCCTTACCGGGCCGCGGGGCCGTCAAAAAACGATTCAGAACGAAAAACCGGTCCCGGGGAATGGGTCGGGACCTCTGGGGGTCGCGTCATGAAAAAATCATGACGTCGGGGGTCTGGGTCCGAGATGTCTTGATCTGTCCCCTGCAAGCCAGGCTTCAGAGCTCTGAACCACTTCTTCGGCGGCCCGCCCGGTGGGGAAGTGAGAGGGGGCGGGCCTTCACAGCAGGCTCGGAGGTCAGCCCAGCCTTCTGAGAAATCGCCCGAGCCTTCCCCGAAGATGCCGAGAGCCTCTCGGAAGGCCGGCGGGCTCCTGAGAAGCCTCGCCGCCTTCTGGGAAGGCCTCCTCCTTCTCACTTCCCCTCCTCGCCGCCAACACTCTCCCCAGACCCCCGACGTCATGATTTTTTCATGGCGCGACCCCCAAAGGTCCCGACCCATTCCCCGGGACCGGTTTTTCGTCCCGAGTCGTTTTTTGACGCTCCCGAGGCCCGGCGAGGGCCCTCAGAGGCCGAACATAGCGAAAAACCTCCCGTCGTGATTTTTCCACGACGCGAGGAGGTCTGGGAAGGCCTCCTCCTTCTCACTTCCCCTCCTCGCTCGCCGCCAACACTCTCTATAGGGGCCAGTTCTTCGTCGCGGACTGTTTTTTGTCAGTCCCCGAGCCTGGTGGTGAGGGCCCCGCACGCCGAAGACTGCAGTCGGACATTAGATCGGACAGGGCACCCGAGAGGACACATGACTCCTCCGGCGGCAACGTGGCCCCAGGAACACCAAAGGACATGCGGGTTGCACATGTCGGGATGGACAGGACTCAAGGGTACCCTTTATTTGACACGATCGACCTACCAGTCGGGGCCGACTGCATGAAGCACACCTCTCTTCGTTTGTTCAGTATCGTCGCCGCGCCTTATGTTCTCAACGCGCCCAATGGGACGACGCCGACACCGTGGCAAATCAACGGCAGACAATGCGTCCCGCGCCCCAGGAAGACGAGGCCGCCACCGCAGCAAACCCTACGGCAAGCACTGCGCGTCCGAGGCGGCGTTTGCCCTGGTGGCCGAGGCGCTCTCCCAAAGACGGAAGGCCGCGCGTCGGAACAAACGCCGCGGCGACCCTGTGGAGGCGTACGGGGTTGCCCTGAATGTGGAATCTTCGCAGATCTACGAGAACCCCACGCGTTTGTCCGCAGATCACGGTCATGCCAATATTTGGGGTACCTGAGTTCTTCAGTCGATCTCCTTCCACCCTGAGATCCGACGTAGCGAAACAAACATGGAACATCGCAAAAGGTCGTGCCCGGAGCCCCAGGCCCTGTCTTGCTGCGTCACTTTCTCGAGCCGGATGGATCTGTGAGGGTCCCGGGGCCGGAGAAAAGGCGAAAGCGCCCGGCTTGCCTTGGGGATGGCAGGCTCGGGGTCCAGGCTTGCCTTGTGGATGCCACGACAGTGGACACCGTAACAGTCCTGTCATTGAGTTGAAACTGTATTTAAAGTGTCGGAACATGTTCTAAACATGTTTGAAACATGTGTTTTAACATATCTAAAACATGTTTAACACATGATGTAGACATCTGGCAATGATTTGGCAGCATGCCTCCTCTCCGTTTTGATCGTCCTCCACGAGGCCTGCCTCGCCCGGCCCCCCCTCCGCATGGCGCCGGAGGTGGTCCTCGGCGGCCCACCGCAGCATGTGCAGCAGCTTCGAGATGGTGTTGGCGTGCCGCGGCGCCGGCAGGCCCGCGGCCGCTGCGGGGCGGTGGAAGTCCGCCTCGTCCGGCGGCACCGCGGGGTAGGCCGCGCTCATCGGGCACGCACTAATGGGGGGGGGGGCGAGAAGTGCGTGTTTGGGGGGGGAGAAATCTTCTCGGGGCCCGCGACCCTCGCAGATCGACCGGGCTCGAAAAGTGACGCAGAGAGATGGCGTGCGGGGCCCAGGGCGTGATCTTCTACGATGTTGTGATCTTTCCCCTACGTCGGATCTCGGGGATGATGAGTGTGGAGGGGGGTGGGGAGATGCGTGCAACTTGCGTGCCCCTTTCGGCGCCAGGGGGGCCCCTTTCGGGCACAAAAGGTGCACCTTGCTTCACCCCCCAACGTTGATGAGCCTGTTTTCCACCACCACCACCATAAGTTGGAGGGGGGAAGGAGGAGGACGAGGAGGAGGAGGACGAGGAGGAGGAGGAGGAGGAGGAGGGGGAGGAGGAGGAGGAGAAGGAGGAGGAGGAAGAGGAGGGAGGAGGAGGGGGAGGAGGAGGAGGAGGAGGAGGAGGAGGAGGAGGAGGAGGAGGAGGAGGAGGAGGAGGAGGAGGAGGAGGACGCCCTCCCCCTCCAACTTCTGGTGGTGGCAGGCTCCTCAAGCGCACCGTGCCCCCATTACTCGACGCCCGAGCTGAGGTCGACCAGCCCGGCAGGCTCCCCGGCCCCGGCGGGGGCGCCCAGCGCGGCGAAGAAGCGCAGCTCGTCGCAGTCCGGCCCGTAGGTGCGCCGGTGCGCGTCCAGGAAGGGCCGCTGCGACGGCCGGTCAGGCTTCCGGCTGCGCGCGCGCCCTCAGATCCGGGCGCCGTGCCTCTTGCGCTCCGCGCTCCTGCTCGCCCCACGTCGGGCCCCGGGACCAGGCGACGATCGACCCGCCTCGGAAACCGAGGCGGCGAGAACGGGCTCTCGGGCTCTGGTCGCGATTTCCTGCGTGATTCCAGGGGCCCACGGACACACAAAGAAACACACACACACACACACAAATCCCAGGATTCTCGATACTTTTCCATATATTTTCTGGACTCTGGTCTTCCCCCCACTTCCCATAGTTTTCCCATGTATTTTCCTGGGGGTCAACGATGAATCGTGCCTGCGTGTTTCTTCTTCTCCTGAGTGATGTTGCACTGCTTGGCAACGTCGGATCTTAGGGACGAGCAGCCCCCCCCTCCCCTCGGCAGTCCCGCTCGGCCTCATTAGCCCCCCCCCCGAGTTTGTCTGGGGCGGTCGGTGCTGAGGCTGGGCCCCGTCGCGGGGCCTGCTGACACCAACTGCAGGAGGAGGAGGAGGAGGAGGAGGAGGAGTGAGGAAGGAGGAGGAGGAGGACGATGTGAGGAGGTGGGGGTTGAGGGAGGTGGAGGAGGAGGAGAACGGAGGTGGAGAAGGAGGTAAACAGGAGAAAGGAGGAGGAGGAGGAGTAAGAGGAGGAGGAAGGAGGAGGAGGAGGAGAGGAGTGAGGAAGAGGAAGGGGTCGGTAGGAGGGGAGTAGGTAGTAGAGTAGGAGGAGGAGAGGGGAGAAAGAACAGGGAGGAGGAAACAGGGAAGAGGAGGTAGGAGGAGGAGGAGGCGGAAGGAGGAGGAAGAGGAGGAGGAAGAGGAAGAGGAAGGGGGCATGTTGGGGCCAGCGGGGCCTGCACCAAGGGGGGGGGGGGGCTGCCTGCGCGCAGCTCCGCGGCCCCACCAGCGACGGCCACACCAGCGGGACGAGGCAGCTCACGCGGACGGGCCCCGAGCCTGAGGGGCAGCGCTCGGGGGGAGGCTGGCTCCGGGGGGGGGGGACGTCGCCCTGGAGCCGGCGAGATGCCGCCGATCGAGCGGCGAGAGGCCCCCGGCATGGCAGATGCGCACGGCCCTGGGCGGGGTGGGGCTACCCTGTCGGGCCCCCCTCGGCGACGAGCGGGCGGTCGAGGGTGGCTGCGTCCTGCCCGAGCCCCCGATCGAGCGGCGAGAGGCCCCCCGGGATAGCAGATGCGCACGGCCCCGGGCGGGGTGGGGCTAGCCTGTCGGGCCCCCCTCGGCGACGAGCGGGCGATCGAGGGTGGACGCGTCCTGCCCGAGCCCCCGATCGAGCGGCGAGAGGCCCCCGGGATAGCAGATGCGCACGGCCCCGGGCGGGGTGGGGCTGCCCTGTCGGGCCTCCCTCGGCGGCGAGCGGGCGGTCGAGGGCGGCTGCGTGCCCCTCGGAGGCCACCCCTGCCCGACGCTGCCCCCTGAGGCGCGGCCTTCGGGTCACGAGTCGGGTCTGCGGCGGCCGCTCGGGGCGAGGCAGGCGACCCCAGAGAACGCCCTCGGCGAGGCACAGTTGTGGGAGAGC